CTGTATTAATTTAGTGTTTGATAAAGCCAAAGATCCAAGCTTTTGGGACAAAAATTCATTATTAGACAAAAACTGCTAGGAAAACTTGAAAACAGTGTGGTAGAAACTAGGTATAGACCAACATCTCACTGTTATACCAAGATAAAGTCAAAATGTATACATGATTTAGACATAAAGGGTGATACCATAAGCAAATTAGGAGAATATGGGATGGTTTATGGTCTATGGATAAGGGAAGAATTTAGGACCAAACAAGATATAGAGAGCATTTATGAAATATAAAATGGATAATTTTGATTATATAAAATTTAAAAAGTTTTTGCACAAACAAAACCAATGCAACCAAAATTAGATGGAAAGTAGAAAAGGGGGGGAAGAAATGTACAGCAAGTATCTTTGATAAAAGTCTCATTTCTCAAGTATATAGAGAACGGAACCAAATTTATAAGAATACAAGTCATTTCCCAGTTGATAAATAGTCAAAGGATATGAACACATAGTTTTCAAAGAAATCAAAGCTATCTAAAACAAACAAAAAATGCTCTAAATCAATCTTGATTCAAAAAAGCAAATTAAAACAACTCTGAGGTACCACTTCACACCTATCAGATTGGCTAACATGACCTCTCTAGTCGTTCCATATGTTTACCTGTGGTATTGACTAGATTAGGGGCAGCTAGGTGGCACCATGGACAGAACATTGGGCTTGGAATCAGGAAGACTTATATTCATGAGTTCAAATCTGGCCTCAGATGCTGACCCTGGACAAGTCAATTAATCCCATTTGCTGCAGTTTCCTCATCTGTAAAATTATTTGGAGAAGGAAATGGCAAACCACTCCAGTATCTTTGCCAAGAAATGCACCACCCCACCCCCACCAAGTGGAGGTCATGAAAAGTTGGATATGACTGAAACACCAACAGCTTGACCAGATTATAAACTCCTTGTAGGCAGGTGCTATGTCATACAATTCTTTGTATCAGTCACTGGCACAGTAATGGGCACATCATAGTAGAGAGTCAATAAGTACCTGTTGATTGACACAAAGAACAGAGCTCAGCCAAACCCAGTGAACACAGAGACATTCTACAAGTTTCTCTTTTATTGTTGACTCTGCAACTTATTCTAGGTTTGGGACCATAATTTTATTTTCCCACAGCAGGTCACATTTCCCACTCCAACCTGAGTCTGGGTTCATTAGTACCTTTCCATATTCTCCTCAAATTCCACAGGGTTCTCTATCTCATCAGTGTTCAATCATTTTTCCTTTACTTTGCAGTGTTTATTCATAGATGCTTGAATTCTTTAACTAGGTCTGGAAGCCATATTTCCTTTTGTTGTTATTGTTTTTCCTGCTGACTTATCTGTTTATGTTTTTGAGATTTCTTCTTAATGAAATCTTTGGCACTATCAATCTCCCCCCATCCCACCGTATTATTCCTATCACTCACTTCTTGACTTCCTCCTCTATAATTGTGGTTTCCTTGGGAGATGGATCTCAAAATGTCTCAATTAACAGTTCACAGGTCTAGGTCTCTGCCCTACCTGACTCCTGGATGATCAGAACTGGCCCCAAATGGATGCTGTGCTCTTCCTTCAGGCTTGGTGGAGTACTACACAGCCCCTTTCCCCACCCCCATCATGTGCATGGTGTCCTGTCCTGGTGACCTGTCCGATTCCCCGTGTTCCTCAGTTCTCTGACCTGGCACTGGCAGTTCAGAGCCTGTTTTCCCCAGCATCAACAGTTCAGAACTTTGCAGTGCTGATACTTCTAGATTACAGCCCTCAGCAAACTACTGTTCCTGTAGGGATATAGCAAAGCTGACTTTTGAGCCCCAAACAAACTTCCACAGCCTGGAGTCAGGATCTTCAAAGCACTGAAAAAAGGGAGGGGAGATGAGGTGAAGGGTAAGTTTTGATGTAAGCCTGTGTCATGTCCTTGGGTCTGCTAGTGCAGCCTTGCTGCAGATAGCATAGGAGATGGGAAAGGGGTGCTAAGTGAACTCAAGGTCCATAAGCATCAGTTTCTGGATTTTTTTTTATAACCTTCTTTTGGAAGTTTGTGTATAACCTTTGCGAGCTCTTTGGTATTTTCAGAGTTAACAGTTGTTGCATAACCTCTATGACTTTTTTGTCACTTTCTGGGTTTGACATTTGCCATTTCCTTCTCCAGCTTATATTACAGATGAGGAAACGGAGGCAAACAGGGTTAAATGACTTGCCCAGGGTCACACAGCTAGTAAGCATCTGAAGGCCGGATTTGAACTCAGGGAGATGAGTCTTCCTGACTCTAGGACAGGCACTTCTATCCACCATGCCACCAGTGGTGCTTCACTCTCTCCCCTTGCTCTCTTACAAAATCCTTGCATTCTAGCCATTCTGGACTACTCACTGTTCCAAATTCAATTTGCCTTTCCCACTTCTAGAACTTAGAAATCCTATTTCCTCAAATTGGGAAATCCCTACATACTGTCTGTGGATTTCCTATTCTTCAAGGCCCTGCACAAAATTCATTCCCTAAGTAAAACCTTCCATGATCAAACTAATCGGTTCCTTCTCTAGAATTCTACAGCACATTCTTTTTGCTTTTGCCTACTCATATGATATAGGATCATAAATTCAGAGATGGAATGAAGTTTAGAAATCATCTATTCCAACCTCCCTATTTTATAGATAAACTGAGGTCAGTAGAGAGTAAATGACTCACCTGAAGTCACACGGATAGCCAGTAGCAGAGCTGGGATTTGAACCCTGGTCCTTTGACTCCAAATTATTTGTAGAGAAATTAGCAGTTTGAGTGCTCTTTTTTGAGGGCACAGGAAGGCCATCTCTCAAAATACTTCTTTGGGGATAGTATATTGACTATAATTCTACCACTCAACATAGATAATTCAAGTTCACCAGCTTCTTTAAAAATTCAAATGCTCCTTGGCAAATGCATGTGAAAAAATAACACATTAAGTTACATTAAGGGGTTAGGAACTCCTCACCTCTTCACCGGACTAATGTAAATAGCCTTCTACTCGGTCTCCCTGACCCAAGTCTCTCCCTGCTCTAATTCAACCCCCACACAGCTGTGAAAGAGACAGTCTCAAAGCAGAGGTCTGACTGTATCATTACACTGCTCAGAAAACTTCAGTGACTTCTTGCTCTATGACAAAATACAAATTCTGTCTGGCATTTAAAATCATTCACTAACTAGTTCCAGCCTCCATTTCCAGATATGTTAAAAATTACTTCCCTTCACATACTCCATGGTCCAGCTAAACTGACCTATTTCTTCTTCACACACAATATTTCACTTCTTGTCTCCATGCCTTTGCAAGGCTTTCTCCTTTGGGCTCCGAATGTACTCCCCCTTTTCCCTTCTGTGTCTTAGAACCCTTAATTTCTACAAATCGTGGGTCAAGTACCAACTCCAAAGTAAGGCCCTCTAGCTGTTAGTGCTTCTCTCTTTCCAGTTCAAATGAAATCTTTATAAAGTGCTTAGCACAGTGCCTAAGACAAGGCAGGTACTTAATAAATGCTTGTTTGCTTCTCTTTCTGCAAGTTGCTTTGTATTTATTATGTGTACATGTTTTTTCCCTTGAATATAATATAAACTCCTAGAGGGTAGGGGCTGTTTTGTTTATGTAGCCCCAGCCTGACACATAGGCAGTGCTAATCAAATAATAATGATGATATTTATACAACATTACTGTGCTAGGCACTGTACTAAGCACTTTACTACTATCTCATTTGATTCTTGTAACAACCTTGGGAGGTAGGTGCTATTATTATCTTCATTTTATAGATGAAGAAACTGAGGCAGAGGCTGTGACTTGCCTAGGGTCTGAGGCCAAATTTAACTCATTCTCCTGACTTCAGGCCAGGCACTCTGTCCACTGTGCCACCTAGCTACCTCTAGAATATTAGTTTTGATTGGTTGATATTATTCTCCCTGATTCCTCAGATCCTCTAGATTTAGAACGCTAAGTAACAGGATATGAGGAAGGTATTGTTCCTGAAAACTAAGGAAAATGGCAAAGGCTAGAGAATTAAGGAGGAAGAAAAGAAAAACCACCTATTATACAGTCTTACCCAGGGTTCTTCTAATAAATGCTTAAGTTTGGTATCTTGAAGACCTACTATTTGGAGGCTATTTGAATGAGACCAAGGCCCTTGTGTAATAACAATTAAATGAGACCAGGGTCACTGTATGGAGAAAAAATGGAACTTCTAAGTTCTCTCATAAGACAATATCAATTGCCTTTTGGGAAGTCACAAATCCTGGCTAAGCCAAGTAACACTGAGGAATTAGGTTATATGCTCACCCTGTCATATCCAATCACTTCCCAAGTCCTGTTGAGCTCATGTTAATAACAGCTCTTGTATACACCCCTTCTCAAACAAGACATTCCTATCTCCTGACTGGGCATTTTGACTGGCTGCCCCAGGTATGGCATGTTATCTATCCTCATCTACTCTTCAGCTTCCTTCAAGTCCTAGCTAAAATCTGACCTTTTACAAGAAGCTTTTTCCTGACCCTCAATGCTAGCACCTTTCCTCAATTTATTATGTCTACCTGGTCCTTTATCCAGCTTTTCTCTGTCATCAAGGCCTGGCATATAGTAGATACTTAATCAGTGCTTATTGACTTGACTTTGCAGTTACTTGAAAGGATTAGGAGAGAGGGGAAAGTGAGATTTTTCTATCAAAGACCCACAGAAAAACAACCCCAAAAATCCCCAATTTGAACATCAGAGTTGAAAGTAGCCTTTGTCAATCATCTAGTGTAAACTTTCTCATTTTAACAATGAAGAAAATGGGTCCCAACAAGATTAAATGGTTTGCCCCAAGCCACTCAGCTATAAAGTCTGCAGAACCCAGGCTAGAGACAAGGTTCCATGTCTGCCAGGCTGACATTCTGTTTGACCAGTTTGAGAGAATATACATGTATATACTTAGAAACACATGTTAATCTCCATGCTTATAAAAATTTTTTTAAATAAAGAACATAAACCTTTATTCAATGAATACAAGATTTTAAAAAAACATAGACTTCAGTTCCGTATTATGACCAGTTAAAAGGAGATGGCAAAGTAAAAGAACAAGAAGAAAGTCACCTTAAATCCCGCCCAAACAGAATTTTGTAAAGGCTATCAGGTTTTATTAAAAATCAAAATACAGCAAAGCATATAACACAACGGAGGTTGCAGAGCTGGGTTAGAAAATCTTTTCTTTCCCCAGTTCCTCAGTTTGGGAAGCCAGCCCATTGTCAGTTTTCACATTTCTGTTAAAAAAAAATCTGAAGTATTAGTGGCATTTTGAATTTTAAAAAATCTTTAGTTTTACCTAGGCATCTTTCAGCATCACACTGCCTGGATCTCACTTTCTATAATGATTTTGGTATGTTCCATATGTATTCTTACAAACACCTAAATCCTCAGTCCCTCACTGGACCTCCAGTGCCCCGTTTGACCTGACATCCTGCTCATTCACTGGTCTGTAACACTTTATTGATCTTTTCCACAAAAATAACAAAGGCTCAGTCTGGATGCCAGGGATGCAATATAAAAACTATTCCTCTGCTCTCAACTCATTACATTTGCCCAGATACTGACCCAAACACCTGAAACACTGTGCTCAAATTCATTTTACTACCACAATCATCCATCCTGCTTCATTTCAAAGCGCCCAACTCCTAGGATAAACTGTCCTTATTCCTCCAATTTAAACTCCCTAGCCCATCTCCCAAATCCCCTGCTTAAACTCACCTCCTACCAGCTAAACTCACTATTTCCACTCCACTGCACTTTCCACCCTAAAATAATCCACCCTCCTGTCTGAATTCAGCCCCTTCCTCCAATTTGGCCAAGCTTACCTTTCTACCTCAAAAATCCTGAATTGAGCACATACCCCTTAATCTCAAAACCACTGTCTGACTTCAATTCTCCTCTACCTAACTTCATCCCTGGAACATAAATCTGAAATGTTATGTCCTTGCTGAATTCAACTCTTTCCCAAATAAACCAACCTGGAGCCTCCACACTCAAATTTCCACCACAAGTCAATACCATGTCTCAACTGACTTCCCCACCCAAATTCACTTTCATTTCCCTACATAACATAAAATCTTTCCCAAATCTTACCTTCATACCCTACATACTGACACACACACACACACAGATACACACAGACACACACACACACACCCTACACTCATCTCTGGACCCTTACTTCTTAGCTATTCCCAGTGCTCTCCACTGAAAAAGAACTAAAGATCTAAAATCCACAAGGACAGGCCAATAATAGAGATGTGACTGAAAGTTATAGCTCCTAACCTTCTTCCTTAGAAACATCATTCAGAATCATTAGCCCTTCTATAGAAAAATTGACTTCACAATGGCCATAACTTCAAAGAACTTTGTTTCGGTCAAACGTGCTTCATATCATATTTATACCCTTATCACTCATCAAGATCAGAGCTTCTAGGTTTCCTTCAGTCTCAGCCTATATTCGACATTCAAACTCTCACCCAGTCTCCTACTTTGGCTGTTGAAAACTTGGACTCTGATTGTTTCAGCATTTTTGATGCCTGGGTAGGCAAACTTCCATGGGTACTGGTATGCTTCCTTTTCATTGTTTGAGTCCCACAGCAAAAACTGCATGTGACTTTTGGGCTACATCCTTCCACTTCATCCCAGGAGGAAATGCCACAGATTGCATGGACATCCCTATTACACAGTTTACAACAAGCACCAGTCCATTCTTTTTCACAAACCACACAGGATGAAAAATTTAAGCTGCCCTGAGGGGTAGAAGTGAGTTCAGCTACTTTAGGAGTTGTTATATTAAGGTTCTCTTCCATGTCACTACTATCAGTTCCAGCCTCATTAACTTTCAGGCTACTTCCTGCTTTTTTTTCAGATTGTTCTAAATGACCCTCTGTGTTCAGATGGTCAATGTCTTCAGCTAAGTTAGAAATAGACAGCTCAACTTTGTTTCCTGAGTCAAATACAATTTCAGACGGAGTGTGCTGCATGTTTCTGTGAAAGGGTCGATTTTTCATCATTTGAATGAACCAAAGACCTTCCGACCAGTGCAAGGAGTTGTTCTTTTGCATCCAGGAGATCATCATACTCTGGATGTCGTCCTTAGGTTGTACCACAGAACTATGGTCCTGACAGGGCCGAGGCTTTCCATGGACAATTTTTAGTTTTGACCACATCACGCTCAGTTCATTGACGATCTGGCTAGAAAAATCTCTTCCGTGTTCAGACTGTAAAACGCTGGGTGCTCCAATAATTGCAAAAACATCCAACAAAGCATGTGCCACTTCCTCAGACCTTCTTGATTTTAATGGCCGCAAAAAACTTAATTTTGTTTGGTGATCCTGATAACTCATAATAAACTTGTATTCACCATCAGGATTTAACTGCATGTCAATGAGTTCAACTTGGCATCTTGAATTGACTTCCTTTATGGGCTTAGACACAATACATTTTTTTGGTGGCTTTGAATTCTTTTGTTGACAAGGCTTGCAAAGAGTTAAGTATAACATTATAACCTCTTTTGTGATATTTTTGTATTTTGGTTGCAACTCTTTTTCCATACGGGTACGCCCACCATGTCCAATACTGAGATGTGTATCATGCAAGATGTCAAATAAATCTTCACTGTGTAAATAATATCGTATTTTTTCTGTTTCTCCATTAACAGCCTCAATCAGTTTCTCACTTCCTTGTATAAGGATCACATCAAATCTGGCCAAACGGCGATAATCAATGGATTCCTTTTTTGCCTTTGCTTTAGCTTCTTTTACTTCCTTTATGAGTTGACAGTATTTCTCTTTAGAAAATATCTTTGTGTTATTACTTTTGCTTTTCAGTAGACTTGCAAGATCTCTAAGGAACTTTTCTCTCATGCTTTTTGGCTGTATTTCTACTTCATTTCCATTTGAACTAACAATGTTTTCATCTCCTGCATGTTGAGACATCATGGAGAACCACAGAAATGATCCTAAAAACACAAAGCAACCATTCAGAACTTTGAGGTGTGTAATAAGGAAGGTAAATACTGCCCCATGAAGCTCCTAGAGCCTGATGGGAGGTAGAGGACAAAAGGGAAATACAAAACCTTAGCTCAAGAAGGCCAAACCTGAAAATATGAACAGTGAATGAAAGGAAGATTAAAGTGGGAAGAGAATCAAAGAATGGTAGAATTTGAAGGGACCTTATAAATCAACTACTTTATCCTCCTCATCTCAAGGATATGGAAACTGATACTCAGGAGGGCCATGACAATAATCCAGGTTACCTGAAGCCAGTCTGGCACTTTTCCCATGACTTTTAGTTGCTAAGGGAGACCTGATATTAGAGAGTGATGATAAAAGAGGGAAAAAAGGATTTTCCTGGGAAGTATTGTGGACTAGCTTTAAACAAAACCTCTTCTATGTGAAATGGAAAAATTAGTATTATTATTACTAATAATAATTACTACATAGGGAAAAGTCTTTGGCCAGAGGAGCTTGGACAAAGAACAGTAATTAATGTCTACTAGTTAGTGTCCAAAATTAATCTTTATTTCAGGTTTGAGACAGTCAAGTTGTCTGTTCTGCCCACATCTGGGGTCTGTGACATAATTTTGATGTCTTGGTTTCACAGCTTGTTTCATTCATAAAGACACAACTTATAAATAATGAACCAATGGGAAGGTATGGGAAGTCAGTACAAACTAGTGGAAGGTCTGAATTATGGTCCACTGGCTTATTATTTTCAAGTATATAGAGAAATTAAAACTAGAAATATAAAGCACTTGTTAAGTAAAGGTCCTTTGGAAGATTTTTTTTAATGATGAGATAAGACTAATTCATAATTATCAAATAAAGTCTACTTGTAAGTACCTGAAAGGAGCTAGCTAATAGTCATTTCAATTTTTAAAAAATATTATAATCACTATTATTTTACATACTAAGCCCTTCTAAAGTTACATTTTTTTACTGAGCCTCTGATCCAATGTTCATAAATTAATAGTCAACTGTAATACATGAGTCTCAACTTTTCCAAAAAGCCTTCTCTTGATGACTCCAATGCAGAGATCTGTCTTCTCTGAATTCCTTTGGCACAGTGCCTTTATCACACAATTTTTGTTTTCTATAATATTTTATTATTTGTGAGTTGACTCCCCCAAAACAGTGCAAGCTTCTTGGGGGAATGGATCCTACTTTATATTTCTCACAGAACTTAGCACAGACTCAGCAAGACACAGCTGTTCAAATGATGTTGACTCACTTTGAAATGGAAGACTAATAGTTAATGGTGATTTTTCCTACATATGTAAATGTAAACCTACACTTAAGCTGCAGTTTAAGTATTGGCTTTCCAGTGCTGAGCCACTATGTGATGAATTCTGTTGTAATTTATTGTCTATATATTATACCCATAGTGTCTAACATAGATTAAAAGCTAATACAGTGTGACTGTATAAAGTGTTTAACACAGAGTCATGTGCAAATCAGGTATTTAATAAATGCTTTTTGATGACAAGATAAAGGAAATGAACTATAAAAAGTAGGATCTTAATTACAAGTACCTAGACAGGATGATGAGCACTATAAAAGCATGGAGACAGATGATGAAGAGGTTGGAAAATAATGACTGCAAAGATACCAGTTGAGAATCAAAAGAAAGTTGGAAATGGATGGATTCAGAAATAAATGGACTCAGCATCAAAGGGCAGGGTTGTAAACAGAGGACTAGTTGAGAATAAATGACAAGGAAAAGAAGAGGCCTACTTTATTACAATTTTTGGTACCCAAATAAGAAATAAATGGCTAAGAAAAAAATGATTGTTCTAAAGATTCTCTTCTGTACTCAAATGTATGGCATTTGTCATGCTAAGAGATCTAACAGGTTATCAAGTCAGTTGGGGATATTAATGTGCCAGAACTTTAAAATGGCTGCCACTTCATTTAAACAGTACCTAGAAGGGCGAAAGATTATTGGTTGGGTTTTGCATGTATATGCTTTAGTCCAGGGGTTTTCAAACTTTTTGGCCTTAGTATCTCTTTATACTCTTAAAAATTGAGGACCTCCCCCACCAAAGAGCTTTTGTTTATGTGGGTTATATCTATCAATATTTACTGCATTAGAAATTAAGAAATTATAGAATTATAAAAATGGCTTTGACCTTGTAGACCCCAGAAACTATCTCACTTTGAGAACTACTGTTCTGGATCAATTCACAGGTAGATTACCCATAATACAGATGGACATATAAGTTAACAGTAAAAAAATCTTGTTGATTTACCACTTGATTTGCTGACTTCTTTTGCTAACATTATCATTACTTCCAGAAGAAATAGAAGGAATGGAGGTCTGACATTCTCTCCCTGACTGAGCATTTCCCCCAACCAACTTCCATTCTTTTCCCCAGAAGAAATCCTATTCCTCACCATTGTCTTGTAGGGTGTGCGGTTCTGGAGATTCACATTCCAGATTGGCCTCCACGGATCTGAGCTGGGCACCTGAAGACTCCTGGCCTCCTTCCAGGGGTACTATTTCCTCCAAGACCACTTCCTGTTCAAGAGCACCTGATGGGACCTAAGGATAATTAGGCACACTTGGGCTTGTGAAGGAATTTCTAGAGTAACTGGAGTTAAAAGCTCAGAAGAGACCCCAAGAAATATTCCTCAGAGAACAGTTTTCAGTAAATCCTCAAGGGTACTGGAGAGCAGGACAAGAGAACAATAAATTCTGCCAAAGGCAGACTAATATAATAGAAGAGGAGGGGATGTATAGCTTTTTGGTACTAGGGGCATAAAGTGAATGAAAACAATGTCAGTTTACAGATCCAGCTACATGAGTCCTTCTTAACTTTTATCTGAAAATCTTAATCTGATCACTATCATAGACAAAATCAAAATGGAAGTGGCTAAACTCTGATGAGCTTTTATTAGCCAAAACCAAATTAGCAAATAAAAAATCAGTGACATAAATAAATCAATGAATAAAAAATTCACACTGAATTACTGAACTGAAAAGTATCTTAGAGTTCATATAAGCCAAACTTCTCATTCAAAAAAATTTATGGGTGCTTTTTCTCTATCAGCCATTTTCCATCCCTTCTCCAGGCTGAACCCTCCCTTTATGATAAAGAAAAACTAGTAAGCAAAAAAGTCCAAAACAAAGACCATGTCTGACAACATATGAAATATTTTGTCCCAATAGTTTTCCACCTCTCTACTCTGAGGGAGGAGATGTATTTCATTCTTTTTGGGGGGACCTTAGTTGCCACCTCATTTTACAGATGAAGAAAGTGGGGCCCAGAGAGCTTGAGTGACATGCCCAGTAATCAAGCTGGTAGAATCTTCCATGGAGAGTGCAAAGTGTAACCTATTAGGAAGAAGACAAAATAGTTTCTGAAAAGGAATAACTTACTAACGGCGCAAATGTATTTGTGGACCATCTGTTCAGAATTTCAAAAGACCTTTGCTCAGGTTGCATACCAAAGACCAGACAAAAGAAAGTTTTGGGTCAGCTAAGTGGTGAAATGGATAAAGTGTTAGACCTGGAGTCAGGAAAACTCCTTTGCGAATTCAAATCCGGGCGCAAACACTTACTATATATGTGACCCTGGGCAAGTTCCTTAATCTTCTTTGTCTCAGTTTCTCATTTGTAAAATGAGCTAGAGAAGGAAATGGCAAACCATTCCAGTATCTTTGCCAAGAAAATCCGAAATGGGGTCATGAAGAGTCAGACACAACTGAAACAACCAAACAACAAGTGAATGTTTTGTCATGAATACAGAAATGACTGTGATTCAATAGGAAACAGGTTAGATGTAAATGTGCTTTGGAAATTATTATTATGCTCTCTATAATTGAAGGACGGTAATGATTATAATTTTCCTTATGATAATAAACATGCAAGTATTTCCTAGGACAGAGATATATTCATTCATCCCTCTAGGGATCTATGCTTAGCTTTGTAATTTAAAATTTTGCAAATGTTCTGGAAGGAGTACACAATAAATCTCCAAGTTTGGAAATGACACTAAAATCTTCCATTCAGTGAAATAATAGATAGAAATAAACTAAAGGAATTCCTCACAAAGTCCAAAGAAAAATGATAGTAAAGCTTCAGTATAGGTAAAGGGAAGCAAACCTATTGAGGGAAAAAAAATAATCAAAATGACATCTGTAAAATAATTAGCTCTCAGTTATCTCAGTTATTGCTGATTATATGCCAAAGACATCAGACCAAAGGTTACAGAAGTCAAAAAAATGTCAACAAAGTGACATACTTGAAATGGCCAGAAAGTATTACTCTGCACTTTTACAAAAATATGGCATGGTCCTACCAGTTATTCAGTGTAAATTTTAGTCATTCCACTTTTAGAAAAACACAAAGTTGAAGAATGAGCGAAGAAAGGTGTTTAAAATGATCAGGAAGTGTCCGTGTGAAGGCCAACTAAAAAAGTTAGGGCTTTTCATTTCAGAAAGATGGATGCTTACAAGGCATATGCTCAAATTTTGTAAAATTCATAAAGAATAAACAAAGATTCATTTGTCAAATCTCATACCAAAACTGTCTCAATCAAAAATGAGTTCAGGAACATTGCAGGACTCAAAATTAACCCTTAGTCAGTGCTTATTTACTAGTAATAAAAAGAGGGGAAAAAACCCAGCATAAAAAGAAACTATTTAAAATAATAACAAAAAATAAATACAAAGCATTAGCCTAACTAGAAATACATGAGTTCATATGAAAAGTGCTTTGTAAATATCGAAAAGTATTATGATTATTAAGAACCATAAGTGTAATGTTTGAAACAAAAGAAAGACCTATAGTTAAGCCTAAAGGGTTAACCTGAAGAACTGTTATTTAATTATTTTGATAACCGTATTTCAATATAATCGGTTTCCTTTGAAAAGCTATATATTTTACTTTATGCATTTAAACACACTATTTGGAAAAGGGACTAAAAGGGATCACGAGATTGCCAAAGAGGTCTATAAAGCAAAAAAGGTAAAAACCCCTGAGATAGAGAAATAGCCCATGTTCATTGATAGATCAGATTATTAGGAGGAAAATGACAATAGTCTCCAAATTAATTTACACATCTAGTGCAATAACAATAAAAAAACTGAGGGGCTATTTCAAATTAGAGAAAACTATATGTGTGTGTATTTTTATACATACGTAATTATATATGGAAAAACAAACAAGCAAGAATAAGATACAAACTGGAGGTGAATGCCAATAGTTTTATACTCCTAGACTTCAACATGTATTACAAACTGGTTACCCTCAAAACTATAAGGCACAGGGCAAAATAATAATAATAAATTAATGGTATGGAACAGAGATATCAGATTATACAAATGCTTACAAAAGATTACTGTTTGATAAACTTTCAAGTGGCAAGAGTGAGGGATAACTGATGGCATGTTATGAAACAAACTATGTGCTCCACTGCTATCCATTCTATGTCACAAGAACTAGATGAAGGCTTGCATGTTGAGTAGATCCCCTATGGAAAATTTAAAAGAAGATATAGACAAGAGCTGCCTAGGATAACATGGGATAGGCAATCTACATTACTGGAGAAAAATATCCACATCAAGGAGTTAGTTCAGAGATCCACTGTAGTAGCAAAATACTATGAAGAAACGTCCTTGGAAAAATTGGATAACCATAGGGCAGGAAGTGGAATTAGACCACCACTGTATACCACGAAGTATCTCAGTGAATTCCAATTCAATGATTTCTAATTTTAGATGGAAAAAAAAGAGAACTACTAGAAAATGGAAGAATGTGATAGAACATGGCATATTTATCTCAATTATGGAAAAATAGTTCTTTCTATTAAACAACTAGAACAAGAAGTTGCTAAGGAAAGATAAATTTGCATGATTATATTTCAATAAAAAATTTTTGCACAAACAAAACAGTATAATCAAAAGAAAAATGATGGATTGCAAAAATATTTATGGTAAACATAGTAGATATAATGACATTTAAAACATAAGAAAATGTTAAAAGTATACAAAGATGAGTCAATGATCAAAGAACAGTTTTCAAAAGCGGAAACAAATTGTTAGCAATCACTTGAAAAATACTAATAATGAAGGATATAAATTAAACCAACATTGAGTTACTATCTCTTACTGATCAAACCGGCAAAAATAATTAAAGGCTGGCCCTCATTCACGACTGATACAATTGCAAACTATTAGAATCTTTTTGGGAAGCAATCTAGCACATTACAATTGAAGTTACAAAAATTGTTATATTCTTTTGACTCAATAATTCCATTATTGAGAATATGCCCTAACTGTTCATAATACTTGTAACAAAAAGAGAATGATCTGTAAAGAGAATGATCTGTTTAAAGAGTTTAAAGCTACATTACTTGCAATGACAAAAAACCTGGAAAGAACCTAAAAGTCTAAAAATAGAGGAAAGGTCTGTTAAAATGTGGTACATCACATGGGAAGACTTAGACCTATGAAGGAAGATGCTATCCACCCTAAGAGAAACATGACAGGTGGAAATAAGTGTAGTATGGTCTCACATATATGTGTATGAATGTATATGTATATGTATGTAAATTTTTATAGATATCTATGTTTATGTGTATATACATCCATACTTAATTGTAGCCTTCTGTAGGGTGGAGGAGGGGGAGAGGGACGGGAAAAAAATAAAGTAAAAAGTGCACAGGAGAGAACAAAAGAAAACCAACAGGGAAGCAAAGAAAAGCTGGGCAGCTCTGAAAACATTATGTAGTATTTATTATATAGGTTTTCTCGAAATGGAAATATACTGTTTTATAACTGAATCTTCTCCTATGGTCTGCTGTGTACATGACAGTGTTATCTTTTCTCATTTTGTATTTAAATTTAAAATAAACAATTTTTTATATAAAAAATAAATAAAGTCATATAGTAATGTCATAGAAACTTACAATGCAATTAAGATTCTAAAAATATGAAGAATGTAAATACAGAACACCTTTATGAAGTAATGCAAAATGAAGGGCCAAGAGATCTTTACTTCTGATTTGCAGCTGAAACCTCTTCTGTGTTGTCTTCCCCATTAGAAAATAAGCTCCTTGAGGAAACAGGGACTGTCTTTCTCTCCTATTTATCCCCAGCACTTAGTTCATAGTAAGCACTTAAAAATGATTTTTTCATTCATAACTAGGTTCAAAACTATGGTAGACAAATAATATATATGAGGATACTTTAGAGACACACACATTGGGGAAGGCAACTATACTTTCCTACAAAACATCCTTTGGTCCTCTAGTCAGAAATAGGAGAGTTTACTAGATGGACCATTTGTCTAATTTAATAATTCATCTCTTATGTTCTAAAGTTGATTTAACACATTAAAACTATATGGGGGGGCAGCTAGGTGGCACAGTAGATAGAATAGCACATCGGATAAAACTCAGGAGGACTTGACACCATTGGAAAACTTCCACTTCCAAATATTTAACTTACAAATGAACTTTTTAACCTAATGACTTATTAAGTGTGAGTACTTTATCCACTGATGAAGGCTGCAACTTCTCCATGTCATAAGATGCTGTGGCTAAACAATCTGCCATCCTAGAGCCAACCTGGTGATAAGCCTCTCCATATTTAGCTAAGTTGATCTTCAGATGACAGACAGCTAAATCAATGGTGTCAGACTCAAATTGAAAGGGAGGCCACTAAAGTGTACATGAGTTCAAATCCAGCCTTAGACACTTACTAGCTGTGTGACCCTGGGCAAATCACTTAACCCTGATTGCCTCCCCAAACTCTCCCCCCAAAAAATAAAGTATATGGGACTGGGCATGGTGATGCACTCCTATAATACCTGATACTGGAGAGGCTGAGGCTGGTGAGTTCTCAGGAGTTCTCAGCTGTAGGAGGGCTAATGCCAATTAGGTATTCACACTAAGTCTAGCATCAATAGAGTGAACTCCTTGGAGCAACAGATGAACAGGCTACCTAAGCAGAGGCAGATTGACCCAAATAAGAAATGGAGCAGGTCAAAGTTTCCAAGCTGATCAGTAGTAGGATAGGGTCTAGAGTGGCCTTGCAGTCTAGTCTAAGCAAGACACGGAGACCCAGTCTCCTAAAAAAATATATAGGACTCACCGAAGTGGAAACATACATAATTAGGTTAGAGATTTCATATAAAAATTTCCAATTTACAAATGGCAACCCTCATCTAGTGACTTACTTCCCCACAGGCACAGGAGGAGGAACGCTCTTCCTTCTTTGATACCTTCCTGAGGCAGTGATACTGCTTGAGATTCCCTTCAAGTTCCTCTTTTTCTCTCTTGTTCTTCAACCACTACTCTTGTCACCAAATGCCCAGACCCTTATGTTCCTCAAAAGTCACCCTTCAAGACCTAGATCCCCTCTCTACTGCTACAGATCCCTAACTGCTGTGGCTGGTATACAAAGAGGAAGAAGAATGCCTAGGGGGACTAGGAGCCTGCGTTGCAACTCTATAAATGGTTATCTCTTTTTGGACTGGACCTGTGATTTCACTGATACGGAGCTGCTAATAAAAGATTTTCTTTTTCAATGCAGAATGGTACCTTCTCTACAACTTCAAATCTTAAATAATTCCCTAGAGGCACTGAGCAGTTAAGTGCCTGGTGACACACAATTTGTATGTGGCAGAGGTGAAACTTGAACCCAGATTCCACTGACTTATCAGTATGGTGATTAAGTTATATAACAATATTAGTCCAGTTCAGCTTCATTAAGGGCTAAGTAAGGTTTTACATGGTGCAGTGGGATTACAATGACCCTTAAAGTTTCCATTGGGAAATTCTTTTCCACTTCCAAATGAACCTTTTAACCTAATGACTTTTTAAATGTGAAAACTTTTAACCTCTCTGTGTCATAAGCTGCTGTGGCTAAACAATTTGCCATCCTAGCGCCAACCTGGTGATAAGCCTCTCTGTATTTAGCTAAGTTGATCTTCAGATGACAGACAGCTAAATCAATGATGTCAGGCTCAAATCGAAAGGGAAGCCACTAAAGTGTACATAAAGATCCCTGCAGCCACATATTTATTTGAAAACCACACATTAGGAACCTTATATATGTTTTACTGTACATTTATTTTGTTAAATATTTCCCAGTTACATTTTAAACTGTTTCAGGCCCACTCTGGACTGATGCTGACAGCATGGAGGCCTAAATAACTTGTCTATTAGCCCAATAAAATAGACTTCTAGTGGCAGAACATCTGCATTTAGTTAAAATCTTCATTTGATATATCAGCTGTTGTATTCAGCCACTGACAGCTATTTGCTCAATATAAAGTTATCGATAAAACCAGAAATAAAGTAACTAAAATTCTTTATCTTTCACTTTGGAACTACTATTTCATTGATCTCATAGAATCTCAGTTAGATAAGACTTTAGAGGCTACCTAATTAAACCCATACTCCAATCCATGCCCCCAAATCTCGCATAAGGAATCAGACCTTTGAAGATAGACTGTTAAGAGAGCTGTGAATTGGTGCAACCATTCTGGAAAGCAATTTGGAATTATGTGAAGAAAGTAATTAAAATGTCCTTACCTTCTGACCCAGAGATTGTACTACTAGGCATATACCCCGAGGAAATAAAGGATTTTTTAAAAAGACCTCATACCCTCCAAAATACTGACAGCAGCACTTTTTTTGTAGTAGCAAAAAACATTAAACAAAAAAGATGCCCATTGATTGGGGGATGGCTAAGCAAGGGTCAAAGATGAATGTAACAGAATATTACCACATATTATGAATGCAGAGAAGCATGAGAATTCACATAAACTGATGCACAGTAATTAGAATCAGGAAAACAATACAATCACTACAACAATGTAAATGTAAGAAACAACAAAAACAACAGAAATTGAATGCTGTGATATTAGATCAAGCTTGGCTTCAAATGTGGGTGTGTCACATGTGAGACTTTTTTGATGTGAAGTTTTTGCTGAACTGTTTTTCTTTTTCTTGTGGAAGACACAGAAAAGGGATATATTGGGAGAATGTAATTTATGTAAAAACAAAATACACTGATAAAATTTATTTTTAAAAAACAAATAGTTGAATATAGGAGTGGAACGAGGTCACACTGTCAAACATGGCCAATATATTGATTTGTTTACGTAAGTGTGCTTTGTTACAAGTGAGAGTTCTCTGGGACAGGGATGAGGCAAGGGGGAAACATTGGGAAGTGACAGTGATATCATTTTTTAGAAGAGGCTGTGATAAAACATTTTTAAAAATCATCCCTTCTTCCCACCTGCTGTCTTGGTTCATCAAGTTCTCTTTCCAAATCCTCCAGCACAGTCACGGCTTCCTCTCCATTCTCTGGATGATGCTGCTGTACCCAGGTCTGGAGCTCCTCAGGCAAGATCGCCAGAAACTGCTCCAGCACTAGCAGTTCCAAGATTTGCTCCTTGGTGTGGATCTCTGGCCTAAGCCACTGATGGCAAAGTTGCTGAAGGCAGCTTAGGGCCTCGCGTGGCCCAGGAGTCTCTTGGTAGCAAAACTGTCTGAATCGTTGTCTGAAAATGTCTCTGGTGTGTGGAAGGGGATCTTGAAGTCTGGATCCCTTCCACCCCCATGCGTGGTCTTCCTCTGCCTTCACTTTTAGAATTCTCTCCTGGTCCTCTGGGAGGTGGGGGCCCAGAGCTATGAGCCTCTTGGATGCTTCAGTCATCCTGGGCCTGGGTAACTGGGGGAAGGCTCTCTAGCAGGGGTCTACGTCTGAGGGAGATTTCCCTCCAGATTTTTTTCTTTTCTTCAGGCAAACCCCTGACACATGGAAAATCATTGTTACCACAGAGAAATGGCGAACTTTGCCAATCAACTCAATGAAAGAAAAGCAAGGTTGCAACAGAAGGGCAGAGAAGACGGGACACAAGGCTTCCCCAATGGGAAGCTCACTCCCAAATAGCGGGAGCAGATGGGGAAGGGGAAGGCTGGCTACGATATCTCTTTCCAGGGGTCTCTTCCCTTTCTTTCCTGAGGTCTCTGTCTCCTCCCCACCTTATCCCTCAGTTGTGGGGTCTCTGCCTCTCCCCTCCATTTCTTGTCCTGGGGGCTCTATCGCTTCTCTCCCCCCAGTCTCTTTTCTCCCCGGGGTCCCCTCTGTCAGTCTTGTCTCTCTCTCCCCCGCCCCCTCCCTGTCTCTGTTTTTTCTTCCCGGAGGTCTCTCTCCCTTTTCTGGTCTCTCTTCCCCGAGATCTCGGTCTCTTCCCCCACCGCGTCTCTGCGCTCTCCCCACTACGGGTCTGTCTATCCGCTTCGCCCCCTCCCGTCTCGGTCTCTCTCCCCTCCCCGTCGCCTCTCCCCATTCCCCCCTCCCAGGCTCTCACTCTCCCCAAGTCTCGATCTCTCCAACCCCCCCGGCCCCAGCTCTGCGTCGCGCCTCCCCCCCCAACCCCCCCCCCCCGAGTTCTGCCTCGCTCTGGCCCAGGGGCGGGGGCCGCTCAGCTTCCGCAGAGCCTGGGCTGGGGAGAGGGAAGGGGCGGAGTGCACAGGGACTCCTCCGCGAGCTCCGCACCGCGGCCGCACAGTGCCCCCCGTCCCCGCGGCAGCTCTTGCCCCAAACAGACCAGTCAACCGCCAGAGTGCCCCGGGAGGGCGGGGCGGGGACGGAGAGCAAGCCTCTCGGACACCACACCCACCCACTGCGGAGGCTGCGACGGCGGCAGCCACATGCGCTCTGGTTCCAGTACCATAGAGTGAGCCGCTTTCACTTCCGGGTCCCTTCTAGGAACACCGGAGGCTTTCCCTTCTCTATGGTTGAAGAGTTCGTTTTCTCTCCCTAATCTATCATTTTGCCCTATCCACTCCTGTTCGCCTCCCCACCACAGGCAACCGTCCTTAGCCTGTCTTTGCTCTTGCCCTTTCGAGGTACGTTATCTGTTGGTTAATGTCGTTACTTATATGACAGCGCCTGGCAAATCAGCAAGTCGACATCTATTAAGCACCTACTGTATACCAGCCACCATGCTAAGTATAGGTTAAACAAAGAAAATCAAAATTAGTCCCCGCTCTCTGGGAGCTCACAGTCTAATGGTGGAGACTACGTGCAAACAATCCAGGTGCAAACAATAGACAGGATCCTTTGGAGATAATCTCAGCAGGAAGGCACTAAAATTAAAAAGGCTGGGAAAGTCTTAGGGAAGGTGGGGCTTTACCTGAGACTTGAAGCAAACCACGGGGCCGGGAAGAGCAGGGAGAGAGTTCCAGGTTTCGGGGACAGCCAGTGAAATTGCACAGTGGGTGAGTGGTATGAAGTGTAAGAAGACTGGAAAGCCGGGAAGAGACTAGATTCTGAAAGGCTTTGGATGCCGAACAGAGAGTTTTATATATGATACTGGAGATGCTGGGGGCTATAGGGCATTTATCGAAGCGGGGAAGGGGTGACATGGCCGATCAGTTTGAGAGTACAAAATCTTCTGAACTCTTAAAAATTCACATAGCCCTCACGGTCCCGCTCTGGCCAAGAGTGGAGAGGAGAAAGACTGAAACAGTGACCCAGATCAAAGCTGGGACTAGGGCTCTTCTTCCCCCAGGTGATTCCTTCTCAGGGCTTTGGTTGGAAGGCTTCCACCATTACCTGCCAGACACTTGAATCCCTGGGTACTGAACGGGTATGCTAGTTTATAGGTGACCCAGAGAATGTGACCAAAATTCCTCAATCGATCTGAATACACTGCTTATATTCACTCTAATTAATCCAGTAGTTTTCAAAGATATCTAAATTAAACAAGGACTTTTTCACATTTAGTCCAAAACCTATGATTGCCTGGTTAAGGTTATCTGGCTAGCATCTAGTCACTTATTTACTTTAAGTGGGGTGGGGTAATTGTTCTAGATTCCCTTCCCCTAGTTTGTGGCAGGAGACCATGACTGCTTCTAAAACTGGTTTTTAGAAAACTGTTATTTTAAGAATTTGCTCAGTGTGTGGGTGCCTACTCATAAAAATCCAGATGGCCCCTTGAATATGCTTCAGTTCTGTTCATTTGAATGCTAACAGTGATATTAGGAAATGAATAAGAATAAAACCCCCAAAGGGAAGATTTAAAGTATTAGGGTTTTTTTCCCCATATACAATCCAAGTTAATACTGCAATAGTGAGATTTCTGGCTGGGGTATCATGGGGCTAAGTATTAAGAGGAGCACATTTGAGAAAGGGAATGATCCTGAATGGGATGTCCCAGTGAAGACTTCTCAGTGTAATTAAGGTAATGAATTCAGAAGGTAGGACAGGGTTAAGAATAGATTTCTGTAAGTTATTTTTTTTAGTACAATATATCAGTAGTTAAAATTTGTCTAGTGGTTAAGCCTTAACCTACTTTTTAATCTTATTCAAATGTGTCTTTGCCCCTAAAAGAATCTGGCTCCAGAAAACCCTTAAAAGGTTCCTTATCTACTCCCCTTATCTCCCTTTGACAGGACCTTACTCTGATGTCTTCCAATTCTCTTCATTGTCTCTTCAATCTCTAAGACTTCCCAAAACAATTGTAAATTATCTTTTGTGGTAAACTGGTTCCACAGTACAAAGTCTAGCCTAACTGCACATTTTTCTTTGCTCCTTTGACATTATCTCAACAAACTAAGAAATCTAGAGATGTATGCTATGTCCTTTGTCTTATGTTAAGAGTCCCGCATGTGAGATTGTGAGCTGAATTAACAGACAGTCTCCTTTAGGGATATATAAACTGACTTCTGCTTTTGTGTCTTGTCTCCTCTCATCAGAGCCATTGGTGTGAGGACACCCAAATCTCGAGATCTGAAATAATAATAATAATTATAGCTATAATAAATTAACTTTCTCTTTCTCCTTGGACACCTCTGTGTTTTGTTTTATTTTTAATTTGAGTAGCATCCCACACAATCCTCACAATTATAGGAGAAGGTACAGCTAGATACAGCTTTCCTTTCCTTAAAGACAGCAGGGTGGCCAGTCTCTGTCCCCAGACTCCTGATTTAAATCCTGGCGGGGATCAAAGTCTTCCTTGGAGAAGGTTGGGTGGAGGAGACACTAGAGATGTCTATCCATGCCTCTCAGTGAGCCAAATCTAGACAGGTATCCATATGGACACATATAACCTATATAAGCAACAAAACACAAGGGGGAGAGACTTACCGAAGTAGCAGTGCAAAGCAAGGAGGATTCTGACTCCGCTAACATGATAAATGAGTCAGGGAGTATGGATGACAGCACACCCAGTACTGAGGGATCCAGGTTTTGGTGAGAGCAAGAAGGAAGAGTGGGAAAGGAAAAGGTTTAACTGAGGGAAAGTAAGTTTAACCATGGAGCAGGCATTCTAGAAAACCTAGAGGAAAGGGAAGGAAGATCTGAAGTGGGACACCCATATACCATCTGATTTTGGGCAAATCAGTAAACATCTCTGGACATCCATTTTCTAATCTATAAAATAAGGCTTGGATCAAGTCAGTCACCAGACAGTGAGAGTTTTGCTTTTTACCATATGTGGAATGCTGGGTGTTTGTTAGTGACAGTGGCATTGACGGGGTGCTTGTGTTTGGGTGCTTGTACTTGGACCCCCAATTTCTCCCTAGCCTCAGAAACACTGTCCCTTGATAATCACTTTGAGCCCCAATAAGGGCCAAAAAACCTAAATTAATCTTTTTCTCTCTGAGTGAACTAAAAACACCCCTTCCTGTGACAGCAAATTCCAGGACCAGATAGAGCTGATCAGTATTTTTCCTGTTTGCTATCACTGGGCCCAGGATGTCTGGGACCAGATACTCTCTTGAATAATGGGATTTTTCTTATCTTGAGTTTCAATTGAGAACTGACCACTCCTTGACCACTCCTTAACCACTCCCTAATCCCACCCTGAATCACCTAGTTAGCATATTTGACATATGTTTTATTGCATTTTATCCTATATAAACTTTACCTGTACCTCTCTAAGGTTGCAGGATCCTTTAAGAATCCTTGCCCACTGAAAAGCGTAGCAATAAATCTTTGCCACCTTGAATTAAAGAATGCTTGAGTCTGGGGCAGCTAGGTGGCACAGTGGATAGAGCACTGGCCCTGAAGTCAGGAGTACCTGAGTTCAAATCTGGTCTCAGACCAAACATTTGACATTTACCAGCTGTGTGACCCTGGGCAAGTCACTTAACCCCAACTGCCTTAAAAAAAAAGGGGGGGAGAAAAAAAAAAGAATGCTTGAGTCTGTGAATTCATTCCAGATGATCTGTTCTGTACTCCTGTCTTTGAGGGGTCACAATCTCTCAACCTCTCAGCCCGAAACAGCATGAGTTCCAAAGTCAGGTTGTTCCCTGGGTTTTGCTGAGTTCCTGAAAGTCCAGCCCTTTTCCTGTTTCAGGAAAGAGAGGCCTTTCTTCCCTTCTATCTAAGTGTAGTTTTTAATCAGCAGAGGAGGAAAAACTCAATGAGGCAGAGATTTGGGGTCTAGAAGAGAATGGTAAATTGAGGGAACTTTAGCAGGGTTGTAGTAGAAGATGTGGGTTGAGTTGATCAATAGGCAAACTAAGAAATATTTTTCATCATGGGGGAAGTTACAAGGTCAGAAAGTGTTCATAAATTGTGCAGTTTCCATGCTGTCTCTTGCTCAATTATGTCAGGATCCCCAGGCCAAGACCACCTCTCCTTTTACTCTTTTTACTCCTCTCTTTTTACTATTAGGAGACACCCTGTTTTCCATAGCTAAGGCCCAGCAAACAAGCTGTGTGCTGAGCTTGGCACAACAACAACCCTTTACACTTACCCTCTGGATGAACTCAGCCAGAGCAAAATCCCAGAATTGTTTCACACCAGCACCTAGTGGTCGCTGAGTTTGGACAAGCCCTTGTAGTAACTGTGTTCTTGTCACAAAGTCCTGCTATGAATCAAACTTGCCTCATTGTTGCTGTTACCCCTCATTGTCAGGGCTATAGCTCACTGCATAGCCACTAGTATATGTATTGAGATTTGCCCACACTAAAGCAGGTCTCCTACTAGAGGGGGCCCTGGCACATGTATCTAGTTTCCCTCCTCCAACAAATAAAGAAAGCTTTTTGCTTAAAACCACTGTTAGCTCTTTGGTTTTGTTAGAAAAATCTGAAACAAAAATCTACTACAAAATCCAGCCTCAGACCAAACACTTGATGCTCACTAGCTGTGTGACCCTGGGCAAGACACTTAACCCTCATTGCCTAAAAAAAAAACCCAAACAAAAAAACCACTACTATAGGAATGAGTGAAGGAAAGCCTTTAATTACACTTCTTGAGAGAGAAGCGGGCACAACTCACTTTAGTAGCAAGTGGACATTGGTTCAGTGGTACAATCAACTTTTAAACAGTTGGTAAGATCCATACTCCACCCACCAGGGCTGCGACTGGTCCAGTTAATCTGAGTTACACTCTTCCTGGACAGCCTATCCCATGTTCAAAAATGGCAACTATCTCCACCCTCAGGGTGTGTCAGTTAATATTCAATAAGCTTATTAAGCAAGCACAGTGGAGAAAAGCCTTTGCTCAGTAGAGGTCCCATCCTTGAACCCGAGGGGCTGCAGCTGGGTTAGCCTCCAGGGCTCTGTCTTAAGGAACTAGTCATTTGAGGAATGTCTGGGGCACTTTCTGATTGGTTGAGGGACTATCCACAAGATTCTGGAAGTCCTCAGAATCCCCTTGTTCTTTTCTGGAAACCTAACTCCTTAATCCTTTCTTACAGGTTTTACTTTATTTTGTTGTATTTGATTTTTAAGAGTTAACCGTTGTTTTGGTAACCTGTGAGTTCTCTGGTTTTTTTTTTTTTAGAGTTAATAGCAATTGCAGAGCTGCTGTGGCTCTTTGGTCATTTGTTATCAGGGTTGACAGTTACATGTGATTTAACTTCTCCAAAATGGAATTATATACCATTGAAAGGCATTGAGAAACTAGAGAGCATCCAGAGGGTAGGCAGGATGGTGAGAGACCTTGAGACTGCTGTATATGAGGATCTTTCTATTTAAGATTTTAGCCTGGTTAAAAGTTAGTGGATAGGGACAGCTGGGTGGCACAGCAGATACAGCACTGGCCCTGGAGTCAGGAGGACCTGAGTTCAAATGTGCCCTCGGACACGTAACACTCAGTAGCTGTGTGACTCTGGGCAAGTCACTTAACCCCAATTGCTTCACTTAAAAAAAAGAGACTACAATAGTAGTCTTCAAGCACTTGATGAATTATCATGTGAAGGAAGGATTAGATATTTTCTGTTTTGCCCAAGGGGACAGAACTAGAAGCAATGAGAGGAAGTTGCAGAGGCAAACTTAAGCCCAATGTAAGAAAATACCCCCACTAACAATTAGAAAAGTTCAAAAAAGGAGTGGGCTTCCTTGGTAGGTGATGGCACTGTGCTAAGCACTGAGGATACAAAAGAAAGGCAAAAAACACTCCCTGCTCTCAAGGAGTTCACAGTCAAATGGGGGAACAACATGAAAACAACTATCTATAAACAAGATAAACTGGAGGCCATTTCAGAGAGAAGGCTTCTTGCAGAAGGTGGCCTTTTAGCTGGACTTGAAAAAGCCATGCAATCTAGGAGGCATAGATGAGAAGGGAGAGAATTCTAGGCATAGGGAAACATTTGAAGTTGGTAAATGGAGCATCTTATTGAGGAACAGCAAGGAGGCCAGTATCACTGGATCATTGAGTACATGGAAGAGAGTAAGGTATAAGAAGACTGGAAAGGTAGAAGAGGCCTGGTTACAAAGGTCTTTAAAAGCCAAACAGAAGATTTTGTATTTGAGTTGATGGAATAGGGAGGTAAAAACGTGGTCAGACCCTGAGTTTTAGGAAGATCAATTTGACAGATCAGTTGGATGATGGATTGAAATGAAGACAGAATTGAGGTAGAAGGATCAACCAGCAGACCACTGCAATAATCCAGGTGTGAGGTGATGAGGACCTGCACCGGGGTACTGTCAAAAGAGATGTTATAAAGGTAGAAATGAGATGGCTTGACCACAGATTGGATATGGGGTATAAGAGTAAATTGAGGATGACACCCAGACTGTGAGCCTGAGTGACTAGAAGGTTAGTGGTACCCTGGACAGTGATAGGGAAGTTAGGAAGAGGGAAAAGTGTTTTGGGAAAGATAACGAATTCAGTTTTGGACATGTTGAGTTTAAGATGTTTATGGGACATCCAGTTTGAGATGTCTAAAATCCACTTCTAAATGTGAGCCTGGAGGTTAAGAGAGAGGTTTTCCAAGTCATTTGCATAGATATGATAATGGAAGCCTG